AAAAAAAAAAAAAAAAAAAAAAAAAAAAAAAAAAAAAAAAAAAAAAAAAAAACTACTGAGTGGGCTGGGCCTATCGGGTCACGGTTGACCCATTATGAGCGTATTATCCATATTCCTTTTTACTATTTCAAAAACGTTTCCAACAAATAAATTAAATAAATTTTCTTGTTTTTTAATTTTTTCCAAAATATAATTATAATTACTATAACACAAAAAAACTCAATAATCAATTAAAAAAAAAGTAACTATTTATGTACATTAATTCAATTAAAAACTATGTAATACATCAAATAAGGTTGTGTTTTTAATGTGACCGTACATCTTATATGCATCGAATAAATAAAATATATTATTTGTACCGTTCATTTAAAAAATAAAATCATACCTAATAACTACAAATCATTTATATAATAAAAAAAAAACACAGAGAATCTGAAGTCTTAAGTTAGATGGAGGGACAAGATCTAGGGCATTTTCCAATGTATTATTATTATTATTATTATTATTATTATTATTTATTTTCAAAAAAGAATTTGAGTAAGTATGGGATAAAGAGGAAATTGGTAATTCCAAACAGGGCCCATTTTCCGAAAAAATTACGATATAATCTTAAATAATAAATTTAGGTTTTAATTTTATAAAATCAATGAGCTTTTCAAATAAAATTCAAAATATTATAATAAAGTAATTTTTATATTATTTTTTTTTTTAATATTACGACTGTTTATTTATTTTAAATACCTCATTACCAAATCAATTATATTATATATTGAATTTAATTTATTTTACAGCCCTCGATCCTATTTTACATTGCATTGAATATTAGTACATAATATTTGGGTTATAATTATTAATATAATGTATTTAAAATATTTTTTATTACTTAAATAAAATTGTTTATAACCTTTCACCACATGCATAATTAATTTTTTATTTTTTTAATGAAGGGAAACACAGAGTTGAAAAGTGGACACGTGAGGACAGGAGTGAAGGACGATTAACTCCGCCTAACAACACGAGCTTTTGATTTACAAGAGTAATTACATTAATAATTTGTGCTGAAGTCCTTAATTACTAGTATTATGTGATTAATATTATTATTTAAAAAAATAACATATTTTTATGTTTTTTTTTTTTTTTGCATTTTATGGTACATTCATTTGGCTTTTCTAGAAATTATGTCCCAAATCCAAAAAGCATGGTTAGGAGGTCATTTTCTCATTATTTTTATTTTTTTATGATGTATTTGACCTATAAATTAAAAAAAATGTCTAGTAAGTTTATGAAATTATAATTTTTTTTTGTCGAATAATTACTAGATTGCTCTCGAACCTAAAATTTGATATTTGTTAATTCTTAAAATTTTAAAATATTTAATACATCCCTAATAAAAATTTAAATAATTAACTAAATTATTTTATATTGAATTTATATCTAATATAAATGGTTTTGAACCTCACCTATAATAGTTGAAATTAAAATAAATAAATAAATAAAATTTAAATAAACAAAAGAATCAAAAGTTGGTGGGCCATGGCTCCGTAGTTATTATGATTATTATTATTATTATTTTTGGAGAACCGCCCAATCACGTTCTTTCTCAAGACTGTGTATCTTTATGTTTTTTATTTTTATTTTTTCCAATAATTGTTTAAAAAAAAATTATCAAATTTATTAAATTATATTTATATTGACCAAAAACATTTTAAATTTAGATTTCTCACACAAATTACGAACAATAGATAATCTAATAAATTATAATATTACTATAATTATTAAAATTCAACATTTATATTAACTAATAAATTTTTTTTTTGGGTTCATGCAAATTGTTTGATAATTGCTTAATTTTTAAATTTTATATTTATTTTCTTGGTTTCATGTCTTATTAATAATTACGATAATATTGAAATATTGCACAAGATCGATCATGTCTATATTAAATAGTTCTAAACGTACCGTCTAAACCACATATAATTACAAATAAACTATTGTATGCCCTACGGATTCCTCTATTTTGTTACCTACTGTTCACTCTTCGACAAACACGTTCTAGAAATCTGTTATTAAAAAAACACGAAATATAGTTATTTCGCCAGAGCTAAAACGTGGACCTCGCAAGTTCAAATTACTTTTCACCCCTATACTCACTACATGCTTTTTACCATGGTCAAGTCCAATTTTGTCTTTTTCCAAATACGAAACAAGAAATCAAAAACTACCATCCGACCAATCGAAAATTAGGTAAGGAAAAAAAGACATCGACTCCATTCATTTTCATTTGTCATCAAATGATTAGAGTTTAATAATACCCTTATGTTTAATATAACATAACAAATTAACTAAATTAACTAAATTGAATTTATACAAAATTAGATAAGAACAAAAATAATAACATGAAATTACGTAATGAAAAAGAATGGAGGGCGGGGCATTAGTTCTGACAGAGCCTTGGGGTGCTAAAGTCTGCAAAACAACAGAGAAAGTATAGTATTAAGCAGAGAAAAGTATAGGTTATTGGAAGGCAGGATAGCGCCATTAACACACCTCCCAACCCAACCCAACCCAACCCCTCCTCCCCTTAAGAAACGACAAGGGTGGAGGGAGAGAGAGAAACGCTGGCTCAGTCATCAGCCCCGGCAGCGTTAAAAGGACAGGAAGGAAACAACTTCAAAATACTAACAAAATAAGAAATTTATTTATTATTTATTATTTATTTTCTTTTCAATGAAGAGGGAGCGGATATGAGCAGCAGCAGCAGTAGCAGCAGCCATGATGATGATCAACCAGTGTGGAGCAACCATGGCCGCCAAGCCTGCATGGCTTCAAGCCCTCATGGCCGAGACTTTCTTTGGCGCTTGTTTGCTTCATGAGAACCGCCGCAAGTGCGAGAAAAACGTGTTTTGCCTGCATTGTTGTCTTAGTATTTGCCCTCACTGCCTCCCGTCTCACCGCTCTCATCCTCTTCTTCAGGTATGCAATTTTTACTTTTTCTTTCATTAATTACAACTTTTGGGGGTTTTTTTTTTTATTAAAAAAAAAAAAAAAAAAAAAAAAAAA